TCCGTTGCGTGTCGCTTCGCGTTGAATTTTCGTCGATGTTAAGCCTAACAAAGACTATTGTAGCGTTAAAAATTATTTTTTTATTTTGTACAAACAAAATAAATATATTGAAAAATATAAAAATAATAAAAAATTATACTTCAGATGTTAATTTAGTATCAAAAACATAAAATATTTGAGTAGCCCAAGACATAGGCAAAGATTGAAGCGCCACAGCACTGGCGAAAATTTAAATTTGCCGACTGGAATTCTTTCGGATGATTGACTTTCGGAAAATCGACGCTTTACTGTAATTTATATTCTCTTCACGAGTAGCATATAGGGTGATTATAAGTCTCAATCCATTTTTGTGAAAATAATAACAAAATCATTTGTTTGCAGGTCATGTGAAACATGCTGATTCAAAAAGAAAGAATTGCTTGTTGTTTGTGCATGTTTTAGGGATTAATGTATCCTGAAGTACAGACAAATTTCACCCAGAAATTCAGGAAGTCTGCTCCTATCAGCACCAATAAATGTTAGTTACCAATTCAGGTGAATGGGTAATATATATGATGCACAATGTTCCAGGAGGCCTACCAAACTGGACGAAATGGTTCAACATGTAGAAACTGCAATAACACAGAGTCTATGTCATCAGCCAGAAACTATTGAGTTTTCACTGGCAACAACAATGTTTTCAAATGTGGGAGATTCTTCATTAAAAACTCATAAAATATGCATAGCATGTCCAGCTGTTACATAAACTGGAGGAGGAGAAAAAAGACCATCCACCTGCCAAGCAATCTGTTATGATCTCTTGAAGGTCATGGAATAGGAGGATTTGATGGTACTTCTATATATGTTAATCTACTCAAACATGTGCAAATCACAGCAATTTTCTTTTCTTGGATCAGCATGCTTCAAACAACTTGCAAAAAAATGATTTTGTTACTATTTTCACGAAAATGGATTGAGATTTTATAATCACCCTGTATATAATCACCCATGTAAATATAATTACTGAAAAAAGTCTTTATATAATGCAGTCCCACTTCATGGAAATATCTCACAATAATAAAATTGCAAGTTGTAGTTACAATTGGATCAGTGCATGTAAAGTTTGCCTTAGATTCATTAAATGGCACAATTTCCCAACAATATTCAAATGATGGATCACTACCATCACAGGACACATTAATGTTTAATAAATCTCCATGTTTTAACCAAGTATTACCACTGACATTAATCTTAGAAATTGGTTCCTTAACAGTTATATCTTTTGTAAAATGACCCCACTTAGTCTTAAATTTATTTTGAAAATTTTCACCACCATCTAAACCTATTGCAATAATCATCACTGAGATTCTATAGTCTCCAGCTGTAGTAAAATTATATAAAAAAGTGCTTCCTTCATTGACAACTTTTTTATTAATATCCCAAAATTATAATAGCTGCCTGTCCAAAAAAAATCCATTTGGATCATAAATTACAGCAGTGAAGTTGATCAACTTGTTTACGGCAAAAGCTTCATTATCTTCAAAATCATCTTGCTGGACAATTATTTCACCAACCATATTTTTTGTTAAATTAAATTTCATTTCTCCAAAAGCAACCATCCTTTCATGATGTCTGTGTACTTTCACCTTCATTGTATAAACACCTGCTTGATATTTTCCACTTTCATACTTATAAGTATAGTTGACACTTTGTCCTCCTGAAAGTGTCATTTTGTTTGAATACCTTGTTTGAATACTGTATTGTCTTGAAAAACAAATTCATGTAAATAATCAGAATCATCTATTGTTGCATAAAATCTAATTTGAGAATCCAATATAGCAGGACCATCATTCTTTAAAGTGAGATTGAAATTATCAAACGCAAAGACAAATTCCACACATATAATTAATAAAATAAAAACAAGCAGTTTTCAGTATCATTTCTAATTTTGAATCAGTTTTATTTGATGGCACTTGATTTATTCATTATATTATAAAACTTAAAAGTGTAGAATGCAAATATAAACACATCACGATTGAAGCCACCTACATCCCACTCCAATAAACACAAGCTGAAAAACTGAATAAAGAGGAAAAACGCCAAGTGTTTAATTAATAACACAGTCTTGTGTTCAATAGTCAATAAATACGAAAACACGGTTTCAGAAAACAAATCACCCTGTATTTAAATCAAGTTATACTTTGTTTTATTATCTAAGAGATTTCATGCCAATGATGCATTTTAAAGTGGAAATTTTAATTAAAAATAAAAACATACATCATATTGTTCATAGTTATCTTTTTGACTTCTTTTAATATAAAATTTAATAAATCTAATAATGAATACTAGTATAGTGAATTCATACATCATATGTAAATATGCCATATATTACATAATTGCTGGATAATTACTCATTAGGATGCAATTTGAAAAAATTGTAGACCTATAAATTCCTACTGTTGTCCATCTGTCTTTCCTTAATCTCGAGAACGAAGTTAGATAGATAAAATCCAAGACCAGATATGGAAACCTTAGGGGCAGGAGGCCTCGATATATGAACTTCTGATGCCAAACTGGAAATCATGTTATTTCAATTCAAATATTTTATCCTGAAAGCAGTTAATAGATGACTTGCACAACTCTATTGTTAAAGGAAAAGTATGATGTAAAGGGCAAGCCACTACTAATTTGAGGTGGAAAGCATACATTTTAAATTAAATAAATTAAAAATTGCAGCCTTGCATTGTGACAATGTTACAATAAATAATTACTCATTGACTTATGTTTTTGTTCTTGAATTAATTTTTGTTTCCAAGAAACCTATACCCCATGTTATTAATAGTATACATAATGACATATGTCCCATTTTCAAATCTAAATATAGAGAATAAGTCTACACTGTTTGAAAGAATAACAAATTCAACAGTTGGGTCATACTGTGGTAGACGCACGTGATAGTACAGTGAACAGCAAGAGTAAGTACGATGATAATAAACAAAATTTATTATTCAATCCACATGGTGGTTTTCTTTACACAGGATTCTAAGTTGGATCCCAACTATAACATACACATTTGTATATGAACAACAGTATTACCAAACAAAAGGGTGCACACAATTCGAGATAATAAGTATTACAGTCAAACTTTCCCAAAGCTTTATAACTAAACTTAAAACTAACTTATATACTACAAAGAAGAAGAAAGATACAAAATAGGTGTTAGGAAGGTGATGATGAAAGTATTTATGGTACCAGGGATTTTTTCTGTGAAAATCTTCAATCTTTCAGGTGGAGGGATCACTCTCAGTTCGTTTTCCACTACTCTTCTTTGTTTCAAAGTTTATATCTCCAAAATCCCTCACTTAATTCCCAATTACTAAGTTGACGCTATGGTTTGTTCCTATTACTGCCGACAATTCCTGTCTTCCTTTCATCCCACTAGGCAACATTTCAGACCTTGCTCTTTCTATGTCTGTGTGAGAGGTCGGACTTGGAAAGGAGAAAACCCCACAATTTTATTCAAAAATTTTTCGAAAGAAAATTTATTTAAATCTCAGAGAGGAAAAACCTTTTTCCATTTTATTACCGGAGGATGAGTGCATTTCTCTTCCCGGAGTTGTTTCCTTTCCCAGGGAACTCAGAATGTGTCACTGGGAACTACAACTAAAAATTCACTATTGGTGGAAAACGACAACGTGACTTGGAAATAAAGAGAAGACCTCAAGGAACGGTGAGATGGGTCGAGAGTCTGCAAGAGTATTCCGTGTGTGCCTGCAGAAAGGATTTATCATCATAGCTCATTGCCGCATGCTCCTCCCAAATATCCAGTGTTTCTCCAGGAACACCTACGAAAAACCAACGGATCTCAACTTTTGATGGACTTTAACCGCCATCCAAGGAAACAGAGACATTCCCAAGGCTCCCCAACAACTCCATAGACATCTGGAAATCCGTACATAGTGCTTCGGGTATTTATAACAACCCGCAATGTTATGTAAACTCTCTCTCCAACTCGGTTCTCGCGAAAAAACTTTAGGGTAAATACTCTTTTGTAGAACTAGTTTAATAAATAAATTTTGTTATTGTTAGAATTGTGTTCAGTGCACTTCCTCAAGCTGTCTCCATCTCGAGTCCAACTGCCCACAGACGTGAAAAGGTAAAGGCGAACGTAAAGGCTCTGTGTCTACCCAGAAGACACAGTGGTATCAGTCCTGATAAATTTGTCATTGCAGTCTTCGTCGACACAATGTCGACCCTTTGGTCCTGTGGTGCTGAAGCATGGGGGGGGGGTCCTTCGGCATTGTCACATCTGTCCACTATGAATGCTCCACCAAGAATGTCCACCTACTTCCTTGACTCGCCTCAGGGCTTTTCTCCTTCTATTGTTTTCTCGGTGTGGTTCCCTGAACTGTGTCCCCATCCGCAGGAAGGAAGGAAAGAAAGTTAGAAAGTACAAGAAGAAAGATACAGAACAAAAGACTAAGGAACTTAATATTATGCTTAACACTAAAACATATATACAAAATATGGCGTATTGCCACAATACCATCACAATTGTTAAGGTTAATTTATTAAAAATATTGTACTGGAATTAGAAAGAATTAAGCAAAATTATCCCCTTTTTAAATATTCTAGCAAATAATTTAATATCGTAAAAACATTTTTGATCGTCTTTAACGATCTTCATCAGTAAATAATAAAGTAAAAAAAACATTAAAGAAATAGAACTTAAATTAAAATTATGAAAAATAATAACTGCGCATAATAATCTTTATTATTTAACTGATGAAGTTCGTTAAAAATGCTTGAAAACATTTTTATGATGTTAAATTATTTGCTGGAATATTTAAAAAGGTGATAATTTTGCTTAATTTATTAATTTTAACATCATTTTAAATCTGAAACTCAAATTATATTTTCAAAAATATTTATAAGTCAAAAATTATATTAGAAACACCTGACTAAATCAAATATAATTTTATTATGAACATCATTCTACTATTATTTATAATTTAAATCATATAAAAATAGTAATAAAAATAAAGTTTTATTATTAGTTGTTCACTTAATAACTCTAAAATGTTACACCATATTTCTAGATAACATAAAAATAATAAAATCTGTTTTAATAAAAAAATGCTATGCTATACTGAGTAAACAATGATTAAAAGGTACTTATGTGTTAAGAGGACGCCAGTCAGAAATAGCGATCAAAGTCGCAATTTTGAATGAAAATATCAAAATAACAATAGACTAGTAAATTTAAATCTAAAAAGAAAAAAAGTTACTGATAAGGTTGTAAAAATGAAAGAAAAAATTAATTAGGATGATAGATATCGCCTATTTGCCAGTTAAAGTCCAGATACGTATATCGTCATGGCGGCTCATCTCTGATTCCAGCAAACAAAAGGAAACAGTGGGGACGCACGTTCTAACCTAACCTATACTATTAATTTGATTGGTAATAATTATGGTAATTTATTAGAATAGGTTAGGTTAGGTTAGAACGTGCGTCCCCACTGAACTGGCGTCCTCTTAACACATAAGTACCAATTAAAATATTTACTATTTAATGTTTAAAGCACTAGTTAAGAATAACAATGATAATTGTTAATTAATTAATGATTATACATTATCAGCCATAAGTTGAGACTAACAGCATGAAACAATAACTTAAATATGCCTCTTCAATATGTAAAGACAAAGTGTATAAATATTTGCTTATCATAGTATAGACTTACTTAAGCCCATACTATGACAGCCAGATATTTAGATACTTTAAAGCGAATTACTAAATTATCATATTGAGGGCTGAAAGCTAATTGTCATTGTCAAAAATGACTATTTACTTGAATATAATGATAACTATAACTGAATTCTGATTACAATAGGCAAAATTTTTTATTTTAATGAATGTTTTGGGATATGCTAATTCTGTTATTATTAGATGACTGATAACAATGTTTGTGATTACAATAAGAAGATTCTGTTGGTATTTTCTACTTCTTATTCTAAATATCTAATTTATTTGGTACAATATCATTTTTGAATAAGTTAATTAATGATTCCAAATAATTATAGAAAGCTGATCTAATATATCAAAGCAATAAGCCATAAAAGTTAATTGCTAGGTTTATAAATGCATATTATCAATTGTTTAATCAATTACACATTTCATTCAAACACAACCAACAAGACTTATCATATACTAGTCTATATTCATTCAAAAATTTAACTTAGCAACATGCAAAAGACCAGTATGCATTTTGAAAAAAAAAAAAAAAAAGCAGCTACCCTCTTCTGCTGGTTTTTCATTCTACAACTCTAAAAGTAAAATTTTTGATGAGGTTATGTGTTGGTTGAAAGAGTGTAAAATTTAAAACTAGCTGAAGAGGACAACACTGTTTTTGTTGTCAAAATGCACACTGGTCTTTTGTATTTTGCAAAGTTTAATTGTTGAATAAACATAGGTTAGTATATGATAAGTATGTTGTTGGTTGTGTTTATACCAAATGTTTAACTGATTATCTAAAATACAGACAAAAGGCATTTGATATATGAATATAGATTATTTGTTTCATTTAATTAAATTTTACAATCATCATTTCTTAATTCTTATTAAAACTCAAATTAAAGTGATTAAAATTGTCAACCCATAGTAAAATAATTGAATGATAAAGTAACTCTATTGTTATTATTATCCTATCATCTCTCCTGTTTTTCTAATGATGAAATAATGGGACACAGTTTATAAATTATATGGTAGCATTATGATAAGACTCGTCTTATTCTTATAATACATATACAGTATTACTCTTACAACACGAGAATATCACGACAAAATTTTGAAGTTTGAATATTACTCGACACATAGAAATAATATAAATAAAACATACAAAATCCGTAGCAATCACTCAATATACCATCCACCTATAAGAAAGGTAAGTATGAAGATTTGATTAAAGTACGGTCGAGAATGTATCCACCAATCATCCTATAAAAGTAGATAAATAAGTAACAAATGCAAATAAAATGTTTGATTATTTTTTTCTTCAATTTAATGCTTTCCATAACATATCATTCTTCTTATATAACGGTATTGTCAAGCCAACAATAGAGACGAATGAATCAATTTTGTACTACGTTTATCAGTAATATAATAAAATGTCAATTTAAACACAGGATACGAAGATATATGGCATATTACGTAAACAAATCATTTGTGTAGCCACTCAAATAACAGGTAAAGATAGAAGAAAGATTACCGCCACCATAAATGTTTTTTTATACAAAGCAGTTTACACTTAAACTACTACAACTTCAAACACATCCTGCACATAATTAATGTAAAAATTAATCAATTATACAAAATTTCAAAAATACCTAATTAATAATTTATAGGCAATAGTTTCAATCCACAATTTAAAATCTAATAGTAAACAAGACCTTGTTGATTAATAATACATAAATTTTTCATCATTACAAGCAATGGAAATGTAACTGAATTAGTTAATGAATACAGTCGACCCCCCCGCTATAACACTGTTGATAATTCCATTTTATATGAATTCCATGTTCTATGAGTCACTTAGATTTTACAAATCTGTGAGCCGTTCACAGCACGGCACACGTATTTGTAAAATCTAAGTGACTCGTACAACATGGAATTCATATAAAAAGGAATTATCAACAGTGTTATAGGGGGTCGACTGTACTGTATATAAGTCTAGTATCACTATTTTCTATCAAAATAATCTGTAATTTATTGTTACATATTATACATTTTTATCACGTTTTATTAATAAATTTACTGATAAGAAATAAATAAAATTGACAAAATGACAGATATATAAACCAAATGAGGACTGTTCTGCTCTCTCTCTTTCTACCTGTAATGCAGCATCAGTTATTTTACATAAAAATTGACTTAACAACTTTAAGAAATTAAATTAAATCTTAAACGAAATTAAGTTTCTTTGTAAAGAAATCACTTACTTCACTTCCATATAAAGGCACATTATCTGCAAATGGTATTTTTTCAATCTATCGAAAGAAATAATCGATTTCCTCAAGAAACATAATGTTACATATGTTTTCGAATGAAATTGAAGACTTTCTCAGATGACTGATGTAGGTGGCGCGACTAAACGATCGTTTGTAAATATAAAATTTCCTATTAAATATTCATTTAATTTAAAATAATATTAAAATTTCCATCTTAGAAGTTAAAAAAAATATATTAAAAAATCTTAATAATTGTTTAATTTTTAAAAAAATATTCGAAAATATGAAATATTTTTATTTATGCATTATCTTTTTCTGGTAACTTTGTTTAAATTGTTTTAATGGGCGAATGGCAGGCGACGTCTGTGATTACGTCAGCGAGTAAACATAATTGTTTAAATGTCCGCGTATCGATGAATAATAATACTTTAGATAATATAATTTCTTTAATATTTATGGATATGTTATTCTTTTCTCCTTATTCATTTCGTACATTAGAAGTTCATGAATCCAAGAAATATAAGGTGAATAATTCATACATAAATGCATTTCGTTTATTATTTTTTAACACGTGTGCTTTAAGATGTAAAGATGAATCATCGTTAATTAATTATGCCAGCTTAAAACATTAAACTGATTATTATGATGTATTATTAAACTAATTTCGTCCCGACGTATCCGACACGTTTAAAAATTAAAATAAAATTAAATTAAACGAATTATGGGTTATTCGAGGCTTGTGAATTAACGGCCGTGATTATTTGTATGAATTAATCGGTGTGCCTTTAAAGCTAGGTTCTCGTTGGCGTGTGAATCGCCGTGAAGTAGATACGGATTGTCGGTTTGTCCCCGTTCAACTGGTTAGGAGTTGAGAATTTCTTGACATTTGACAGACTTGGTTCCTTCGACTGGTCGACTTTTTGTGACCAGTGTTTGAAAGCTTTCCAACCAGTCACCTCCTAAATTAGCTTGTGGCGCTTAGTATAATGCAGATGATACTTTGTTTCTGTTAGCATTTGTTTCATCTGGTAAGGTTCGTAAACCAACAATCCTTTTATTAGCGAGGTTGAGGCCGAAGTTTTAAACGCAAAAACGTGTATGTTGGACGTTCAGCACCACCTTCCTGTAAGCATAGAAGTTTGATGATGGTGTTTGGATAGTCGGTGGAATCATGCTTGACATTCCAAATGCCATTGTCAAACTTCTAGGCTTACAGGAAGGCGGTGCTGAACGTCCGATGTACATGTTTTCGTGTTTAAAACTTCAGCCTCAACCTCACTATTGACTTCGGTTAGTAGGTTAAGATCCTCTGTGAAAAGGTTGTTTTAAAATTCTATCGGGTTGGCAAACCTTGCATATACGACTCTCCTAGCATTTTGAATGGCTTTATGTAGGCAGATGAAGCGCAGTTTTGTTAGATCGACCGAAGTCAATAAAAGGATTGTTGGTTTGCAAGAAGAGGTTTTTTGTGTTCTTCATAAGAAAGTAGTTCGTAAGATGGAATAATCTGAATTAACAGTGGGCAAAGTTTAAATAATGCAAACTTGTGATTGCCCATGCCCAGAGAAGGCCTGTTAACTGAGTAAAAAATGTTAGCATTATTTAAACTTCACTTGCTGTCAAAGATGTGTTGATTAATTATGCATTGTGTAATTATAATATATTATGTATTGAACGTATATGGTATATCTCTTATTAATGTACAGTACATGATGATATATCTTAATTTTACAAAGAAAATTAAACAGATAAAATTTTTGAATGTTTAATATTTATTAAAGCCACTAACAAAAACCTAATATTTGGCAGAGAAGTTCAAAAGTGCTAGCATTTTGTTTGTGTCAAACAGGCAAAAATGCTAGCACTTTTGAACTTCTCTGCTGGATATTAAGTTTCGTTAGTGGCTTTAGTTCAAATATACTCAGTTTTTTGACTGATAGTATTTAATATTAATATATAAAATAAACTACAATATTAACAATTATTTTTGTTTGAAAATAAATATATTTATAGAAGTGTAATTTAAAAATTGTATTAATCTTTAAGTGTTTGAATTGAGATGACAAGACTAAAACTATATAATATAGATGGCTGAATGCAAAGGTGTTAAGGCATCAGCCTACCTCTCTGGGAACCTAGATTGAATCCTGGTAAGCAATCCAAGGAATTTTTCGGAGTTGGTCTGGCCCAGATATGTTGTGTCTCATTTTTCATCACCTGGCTCTCCTATTGTGGACCTGGCTGAATCTATGACAGTTATAATTAAAAAGACTCTCTTAGAGCCCACAGAACAGAAAGAGTTAAAAAAAAAAAAAGTACTGTAATACTGTACATTAAAAATTTTGACTTTGATTTATGGTTCATTGACTTTGATATTATGAACTTTTATGATAAAGTATAGAGGATTTAACTAAAAGACAATGATTATTCACATTTACAATCAATCAATATTAAAATTGACAATAAATTTAAATTTACTTTTAGTATTAGTTAGAAATTTCTTGGGATTATCTTGCATTTTAGATACTCCGAAAATGAAAATCAATATTCATGTAAAAATAGAAACTAATATAGGTACACACACACACACACACACACACACACACTATATATATATAATTCATTATGACAAGTGTACTCAAATATACACTTGTCATAATTGGTAATTAGTCAAAAATATATTTATCAAAATTAATTTAAAAAAGATTGATTTAGCATCGATGACTCATAAATTTCTGTAACTAATAAATTTTATATATTTATTTATTATTATTTTATTTTTTTCTTTTTAGTTTTATTAAGTTTTATTCTTAATGTAAAATCATTAACCTAAATTTTACAGATGTGAACTATAGTTCAAATTTTATGTGAAGTATAAGATATTAAATTATGTATTGAATTGGAAGAAACAAAATTGTTAATAATACTCAAATTAACCACAATAATTTATATAAAAATAACAATATTAAAATTTTGAATGTTTTAAGAAAATAAATTTTATGTAATAGTTATAATTCAGTAATTAGATAATTTTTGTTAAATATAATTTAAAATATATAATTTTTTAAAATTTTCTTTGATAGGAAAATATGTTTCTATATGGGAAAATATTTTTGGCCTCGTAATAAAGGATTTAGTGGAAGATGGAAATTATGGATATTTCCAGTTACATTTTGTATTTGTGTTTGCTTATATTTAATTTATAGAAATTATGTTATATTTGAAAGAGGTATGGAAAATTATCATTACATTTTTTTTTATTTATTAAGAATTTATATTAAAAATTGAATAAAATAATAATTATACTTACTTTGTTTACCTTTTATTTAAAATTTTTAAAAATATTTTGATGAAATTTTATATTCTGTGAAAACTATTTGTGAAAAGTTACAATATAAAATTTATATATCAATAATCTTCAACTAAGATACTAATATCAATAAGAATAATTTAAACAATAGTTGATTAAAAATTAAAATTGGGTTGATAGTATTTATATAAAAATATAAAAAAATATATTGAAAATACAATATACTATTTATTTTTTTTGTAAATACCATCAGCCAATTTTTTATTTTTAATCAACTATTGTTGTGAATTAGGGTATTGGTATCATCGCCAGAGAACGTTTTTAATCATTTTGCATTTTTTAGAGGCATAGCCACAAATAAAAGGTCATCTCTGTAAGAAAAATTGTTTTTGGATTGTCATTGGTGATTGTAAAATGATACACTTGTGAAAACATTTTGTATCTTCAATATATCTTTTATATTTTTAAATAATTTAAACCTCTGATGAAAATTTAAATATTTTTATTTTATAAATTTAAACTAAATTTTTGAATTATATTATTATCTGATTTATTTTGTTATGAATTAATTATTATCTATCAATATTTTATTACAAAAATAAATGTATACATATCTATTTATTTTTTATAATAATATAAAAACTATGTTGGAAGTTTATTTTTGTTTAAAAAATCTTGTTTATTTTCTGTATATACATTTTATGATAAACTAGCCAGAATTCATTAAATATTTGGAATTATCATAATATGACTTGCTAATTAGTTTGATGTCATAGTTATTAGAATTTTGAATTGTATTCTATCAAATAAAATCTCTGAATATTTTCATATTTCTTTCTTAACTTTATTCCTTTTGTGAGTAAATTTTGTTAAAGATTTTTGAAATTATTTCCAAAATTTGAGAAATAAATTTAGGTTGGGGAAAAAGAAATCCATTATTTTGTCACTAGATGGCTGTAGTGATACATATCTCATAAAATATTGATGACACAAGTTCAGACTTGTGCTTATTGGAAAAGTGACATTCTGTACTAAAAAAAATTCTTTTACAGTTTTTTGATTGGTCAATTCAGTTGTGAGTTATAGGGTGTAAAAGATGGAAGTTAACAAAGAGAAAATTAGGTATGTTTTACAATTTTGCTTCAATAAAGGCGAAAATGCAAGCCAGGCAGCTGAAATTGTGAATGGTGTTTATGGTCCTGATACTGTCACAGCCAATTATGTGCAATTTTGGTTTCGTCAGTTCCGTTCTGGTAATTTCGATGTTAAAGATGCACCTCGCACAGGTAGGCCCGTTGTCGAAAATGTCAATAAAATCATGGAAATGATAGAAGTAGACTGGCACGTTAGCACTCGTAGCATTGCCCAGGAGCTAAAGATTGACCATAAAACAGTTCTAAACCATCTGAATAAAGCTGGATTCAAAAAGAAGCTTGATGTTTGGGTGCCACATGAATTGACGGAAGAAAACATTATGGATCGAATTTCCATCTGCGAAGCCTTGGCCAAACGGAACGAAATCGACCCATTTCTTAAACGGATGGTGACTGGGGATGAGAAATGGGTTACATATGGCAATATTGTGCGATAACGATCGTGGTCAGTGTGGTGAAGCGGCTCAAACGGTGGCTAAACCAGGACTAACAGCCAGGAAGGTTTTGCTGTGCATTTGGCGGGACTGGAAAGGAATCATCTACTATGAGCTGCTTCCATATGGCCAAACACTAAATTCGGACCTCTACTGTCAACAATTGGACCGTTTGAAGCTAGCGATTGATCAGAAGCAGCCAGAATTGGCTAACAGGAGAGGTGTTGTACTTCATCACAACAACGCCAGGCCACACACATCTATAGTGACTCGCCAGAAATTCCAGGAGCTTGGTTGGGAAGTTTTGATGCATCCACCTTATAGTCCAGACCTGGCACCAAGCGATTACCATCTTTTTTTATCATTACAAAATTTCCTCGGTGATAAGAAATTGGCATCAAGAGAGGATTGCGAAAATCACTTAGTCAAGTTTTTCGCCAATAGGGAGCAGGGCTTCTACGAGAGAGGAATTATGAAGTTACCTTTAAAATGGCAACAAATTATAAAACAAAACAGTGCATATTTGATCCAAGTCGAACAACCGAAACCATGTTAAATAAAGACTTGAAATGAACGTAAAAATAATGGATTTCTTTTTCCCCAACCTATATTTAAAATACAGATTTTTTTACTTTAAAATCAATTTATAATTTTTATGTATTACTTTTCAAATAGCTCACCGAATACAATACTTTTAATAGGAAACTCATTTCCATCCATTTTTGAGAGTATTGTAATTTTAAAAGTTTTCACTCTGTACAGAGCTGCTTCACAAAGTATGTTCACACATTGTCACATCTACACAATGTTAGCATGTTTGGTCAATTTCTTTCTTTACATAAGTGTGACTTAAAGTTTGATTTCTAATCAATAAAAAGAAAACCATTAAAATGTCATTTATATCATAAGCAGCAATTTAAAAACACAAAGAAAAAGTTTGCTTTATTTCAGTTTAATCTGAATTTGGGAATGTGGGATTCCCAATTTTCATTATATCATGACTAACTGATGTATCCAGTGATACTTGGGTTATCTTAAATTAAGTAAACATTAAACAGGATTGAAAATGATGCATAATTTTGTTATTTGGTGATTTTGTATTGAACATTGAATAATTGTTTCTGTTGTAATGTCAGTGTTAAGAGAGGATCCAAAAAAAAACTTTTTTCGATCCTCTCTTAATAAAATCTATGGTTTTTATTTAAGTATGGTTTTTATATACTTGTTCCATCATATTTTACAGAAATATTTGCAAATAAGTTAAAACATTTCTCTCAAATGACAGAAAAAAAGGCATTTTTATTACAGCACTCTGTAACAAAACAATTTACAATTTGAAAGCATTGAAAGTAGATGGAAAATAATATTAATAAGATTTTTTAAAATTGTTTTAAAATATTCATGTATTATTAGGATTTTTGTCAGATGTGATAAATTATCAGTAAAGAAAAAGTTTGTATTAGATTTTTGTTTTTCCTCTTATTCCTCAAGATTATAGCATGGTAATATATTGTATTAAAAGTAAACCTATTAAAGTATACTTTGTTACTCACTTTGGTATGTTTTCTATAAGTTTGTTTTCAGCATTTTAAGTTTTTTTCTTTTAGAAAAAACTTGCTCTTTTATTTTATTTAATCTCCAAAAAGAAACTTTTTCCAAATGTCATTATTGGAATATATGGTTTAATACTTTTCTTTTGAACACACAGGCATATAATGAAAATTATATTGAATGCATGACATTACATTTGCCCTCACAGTGTATGGTACATGCATCTCTTGCATTCACATTGTGTCACTGATGAGTAACAAATTATGCACACACTGACAATTTTGTAGGCTTTATTTTTATTTACCATCCTTATACTTTTGAATGTATTGCATGTTTTCATGATTGAGAAAGTGTTCCATGTTGAAATTTAAATTATTTTGATGCAGCAAGCTTAGCACCATTTTCTGGTTTTTCATTTTTAAAGTTGAGGCGCTAATGCCTACAGTTGTCACCAGAAGGCCTCGACAGGATGACGTCAGCACTTCGACAGATTTCTGCACTTTTTCGACCTGCCACAAGAGAGATCGGTGGTGTGCGACAAGAGCTCTACTACTTGACTATTTGACTAGACAAAAGGATTGTAGTGCTCAACGACTGCTGCCTACAAAGTGCTGCAGTAAAAATTGCAAAATAGCATTACAACTTTCCTTTAATTTTTTAATATTTAAAAAAAAGTATTATTATAATAATGCTAATTTTTGGCACAAAACTTTAAAACTTTATTTTTTGTGTGATATATAATTTAAATTAAAGAGATTGGTTCAAGGATATAAATCCACAACTGGCTGGTTTTGAGTTATCAGTAATTTCATTCTCTGTTCGTGCATTCTTACCTGTCTGTAAAATAGGAATATACATCATACATGATTACAGCCTATCCCAAGTATTCAAAGTTTATGATCATAGAATTAAGATATATGTAGTTGGATCAATAAGTCTCCAGACTCAAAAGGATGGAGAAACAAAAACTATTAAACTTTTTATTAATAAAAGGCATTATTATATACATTTATTTTTCAATATATGAGTGATTTTGCTCTATATACTTCTTCTAGCAGCAGACAAAATCTTCAAATGCCTTTGAAGAATGTTGGAGGACGGGTGCTCAGAAATTTGGTTACTACTTCCTTTGATTCATCAACCAATGAGAAGTGTCCTCCAGTAAAATGTTTTTTAGCTCTTAAAATATAGCAAAGTTATTAGGTGCAAGATCAGAGATGTTTGGAGGGAAACTCACAAATTGTATCAGAAATCAAAAAATTTTCTGATGCAGTTTGTGGATCTCTTATCAGTTCTGAGTAGTATCTACTGTTTATTGTGTTTACCTTTGTCAAGGAAATCAATCTTGGTAACTCCTTTGTGGTCCCAGGATACAGTTAGCATGGATGCTTGCTTGTGATACATTCCACTTTGGAGTTTTTGAGGTATGGTTTATCTGGAAATTTCTATTCTGTAGAGGTCCACTTACTCTTTGGGAATGAACAAACCCATTGGTTTTTTTCTCTTTAGTAACAATGTTTTTGATGAATTCATTGCTATATTTGTCAAACAGTTCCAAATTTTCAGAACACTGGAAACAACATTCACACATTTCCATGGTGAGAAATAAACCAGGAGCAAAACTTCTGAACTCCCATCTCCTACATAATGGCATGGATCCCTTACTAATGTGCAGTAAATTGACAAGTTCACTTGCTTTGATTCAACATCTGCATTTCAAAATTTTCTTGTACAGTTTGTTTTTCATTGCAAATTTCTGCAGATAATTCTTCTCTTGTCATATTGAAAATTCTCTGCTGCTTTTGTTTGAATTCACAAATTTATAAATGGTGCTACATGATGGACAATTTTCTCCATAAGCCTGCTGTAGGTTTTTGTGAATTTCTGCATTGTCTGTTTTTAGTAGCACCAAAAACTTTGACACTCCAATATTCTACTTGCATCTTCATTTTTCAAGTAAGACAAATTTTAAAACATTATTATTATATCTGCTATGCACATCCAATATCTGTTGCATAACAGATTTTTCATGTTATTGGCTATTTAAATTAAATTTTTTATTGGCATCATCTGTATACATCCTGATGAGTCTGAGGACTTGACCCAACTACACATGCCCAAGGATGTATATCCTTTTAAATGTGTATGGAACAGGCTGCAGAAAAAAAATTGTACAAGTTCATGGATATATACTATTCTGTTGCATAGAGATAATGTTTCCAGATTTTCAATAGGAAGTTCTTCTGTCCTGTTTAAAAATTCTTCTATGCATCCATATTGGACCTTGTTTTTCTTCTTATTGCAATTAAATAAGTAAAAGACAACTGAAAATATTTTCTATCTAATTACACTTACCAAATAAATAACTAAGGACACTAAGAGGACCTATTTGTTTCGTACAATGCTATTATTATTTTTTTGTAATTATAGTCAAAGTGAAAACTTTTGATTTTTGACAAAAAATTAAAATTATTTTTTAGTTCTTTAAATGGCCATTCTGAAAGTAAAATATTCAAATTTATATTAATTAAAGAATTTTCTTTCAATCTGGTAACATTAACAGGTTTTTTTTTTTTTTTTAAGAAGGCAGTATTGTATGTATCAAGTGAATATGAAGATACCATAGTTTGAGCTGAATTATGTATGAAATTCAATTCCAAATTTACATATTGAATAATTACTGTTATGGTGTGAAATTTCATATATTTTCATGATTTTAAAATATATATTTAATGATATCAAGATTTTCTATATGAAATTTTTTAGAAACATTAATTTTTTCATGATAATTCTGTTTTAAATATGAATTAGTTGGATTCAAAATTATATAAAATTAAATAAAAAGTAATTATTTTATTTAAATTGTAGTTAATTAAAAAATACAACTTATTGTACACATTTTTAAAATTCAAATTTATTAATTTCACAAAAATCAATAGATTTTGATTGTAATTTTATTTTATTTGAGAGGTTTTGTGTAAACAGTTTTATTTTGAAAGCATCTATTCGTTCATTAAAATTCTAAAAATTTGATCACAATAAATATCAATAATTAGTGGACAAAAAAATTATTTTATTATTCTTTGACATAATTCTGAGAAAATGAAATGATTTATTACTGAGTTGTAAATTATTTTATTTTATGATGGAATTAAATATATTAAACTAAATTTATGTAATAAAAAAAAATTGTTTAAAGTTTAATATTTTAAAAAATATTAATTTCTACAGTATTGACTTGAATATTCTCATCACAATATGAGCAAGTATTTTCCATAAACATCAATATAAATCAATACATTTTCTTGTTTACAAAAGCATTTACATTTCATAAGAATGCATTAAAAATGTCCTTCATATGAGATGATCTTACATAAGCAAACTATAATAAATTTTCAATTATTAATGATAAATCTATTTTCAAACTCGATGCAAGAGTTGCAAAAGTAGTAATGAATTTTTTTCCAGATGAATATATAAATTATATAAATTTACTTTTTACAGTATTATTGTTATTATAACATTATTTTTAAGTTAAAATAAGATGTTTTAAGTTTTGTATTTAATTATTTTATAAATTTTTATTCATTCTTTAGATGTATCAGATAAAAAGTATTATTCATTAAATGGAATTTTTGAAGATAAAGATAACCTTGAATATGCAATAGTTATTGATGCAGGAAGTAGTGGAAGTAGAGTTTATATTTATGTTTGGCCTCCTCATAAAGGAAATCTTGAACATTTGCTTGACATTCATCAGTTAACAGATGAATTTAATAGACCATTAGTGAAGAAAATAACACCTGGTATAATATAGTTAACAAATATTTATATTTTATATAATTATATGTTGTAAATACATTGTTATAGTTAATTGAATAATTTCTCAATTATTCAATCAACTATAATAAAAAATTATATATATATAATTATTATTAAAACTCATCTATGTAATAGTCAGTTGGCACAGTTCAGATGATTAGTTTTTCATCTAAATTATATACCTTATATAATTTAGATGGAAAACTATCCTGTAATAATATAAACCCATAATTTAATATCCTAATCACCCGACTAACTTGTATTGTGAGGTAAACTGCACCAGTTTACCTATATAATAATGTATTAGTGGTGTTTGATATTTTCAAATAATCCACTGTAAATATGATATTTTCCTATATCAACGTCAGAAAAATGAATGCTGGCTAATATTGTTAGCGATGTTTGATATTACTGATTTCGGGAATTATCAAAATTTATGAAGTTAATTAAAGTAATTTGAATATTCATCACAATATTCTTCTTTAACTATTTTTATGTTAGTTATAAATTACATTAGTTTACATCTCTTTTGGAATCAATCTGTTTCCTTCTTACAATGTCAATGTTTTTTTTACTCTAATAATCACTCACCAGAAATGAAAAAATAGCCCAGTGGGCAATTATTACAGGAAATATGGTAATGGCTTCTGAACTGTATGTGCTTGAACTATATATCTTGTGGTAATAACATTAAATAACAGATGTATGTCTGTTACATATCTGATGTGAAAAATATTTAGTTTGGTAGATGTGTATATTGTTGTTTATTTTATATTTATTTTTTTTGAAGGTTCTGATTTAGTTCAGGACCAGTTATCAGGGCTGTCAAGATGCAGGGAGAGCTGGGGATTTTTCTCCAGACCTAGAGAAAACTTAGGGCCCATAGAAGTTTCAACCTCCTATAAATTAATGTTACTTTTACTAACAAAAAATAAAATATTTAAGTCCTTTAATTAATAAAAAAAAACATTCTACATATTTTGTTGGTTTAAAAGAAAAATCTGGCAAATGAGGCCACTAAGGCGAAGGTAAGTGCTTGTACAGGGTCTGCTCTACCACCTAGTCCTATACAAGCAATCAGCAACTCTGCCAGTCATTGTATTTATAATGTTATGCACAACCAAAGTGAAGCAATATTATGTAGTTTTTAGTCTGTTTTAACTGTTAGAATTAAATTTTTGAATAAGAAATAATATATGAAAAATCAGCTTTATGTTAAATAAAAACAAAACTATAAATAATAATGTAACTTAAAAGAGTTAAATCATAGTGAAGACAAAAATATTTACTTGGTTTAATACTTCTAATATTTCACATTACCTACCATACATGGGATTTTTTTTATTTTATCATTTATTTAACATTAATTTATAAAATATATAATACATTATACATTAAAACTATAATAGTATAATTAAGGCTTATCAAAGAAATGATGCCAATTTTTTTTATTTATAAAATTACACATCAGATGTTCCATTTAGAGAAGATGTATGATTATAAAATTTTTATTGTCTGTAGTGAAAATGTATTCTTTAAATGATTAATAAAAATTCAAATTACTATATAAATTGCGATCAAGTGTTACTGCTAATATTTGAGGAGCTAAGTATGCCACATTAGACAATAAAAGCATCAAATTTTATAATTTATAACAAATGTATTTTGATTTAAAATTGTCTAGTCCTCATTAGTGCTAGGTGAAAATTAGTATAATTAATAAATAGATATACCTGTGATATATTATTTATAATACTGCAAGTTTGTATTGTAAGATTTAATAATATCTAATTATAAATCCAGACAGATTTTAACAATTTTAGTTTCTTTTAAAAATACAGTTTATGCTCACTGCTATTATCATGATTTTAAATGTTTTTATGGAAACATTAATTTGACCATTTACTTTTCTGAAAAATAATGTCTTTTAGTTTAAAAAAGAAATAATCAACATTGTTTTTCTTTTGTTGTGTGACATCATTTTTTTCCTTTTTATTTGAAAAATATTATCATTCTTTACTAGCAATAATAACATGATTATGTAAATTATATTAAGATTTCAACATAGTCATTCTTTTTTCCATTTCTCACAACAAAATTTAAGAATTAAAATTGATTCAATTATTCTAAGTTTTTATAAATGTAAGTTATAAATATAATACTATGGTTAAAAACTATAGTATTATTATTAAATAATTATTGTTTAATCTCAAGAAATAAATTGTTTTGAGTTTGAATTAGGAATATTTTGTTGTATTAAAACTTTAAATTTTAAAATTTCAAGTTTTTCTTATTATTATTTTTAATGAATTTTTTTGTTTAATTTACAGGTTTGTCATCATTTGCAGATGAACCATTCAAAGCAAGTGATTATCTTTATCCACTTCTTCAGTTTGCTGCTGAAAATGTTCCAATTGACAAGCATGTCCAAACTCCACTTTTTATATTAGCAACGGCCGGCATGCGATTGTTATCAGAAGAGTAATTATATATACATATTACATATACTTACTATACATATTTTGGTTTTATTTATTTACTGCTATTTTAGTGTTTAAATAAGTAAAACTTCTTTAAAATAAGATTATCATCTTTATATTTTATTGATCAACTGTCTTTTTATTTTTATTTATTTGTTGATTAGAATTATTATTCTCACTCTCACTCACTCAAACACACACTCATACATGCTTTTTTTTTAATAAATTTTTTTATATTTGGAAAGTTTTGAAAATATTTCAAAGAATTTTTAAATGATTGTATTTACTAAATAATTAAATAATACAATAAACCTCTGATATTTGTGGATGTCAGTGTTTGGGAGTTCAATCATTTGTGATTGGAAATTTATGCACCAAAATTTCATTTTTTGTGAAAGGTTTTGACCTGTTGAGAAATGGGAGATTCTTTACTACTGTAAACTGGAGTTGGTGCATGCGTGAATTGAATGTTCAAGCAAGTGTAAACTAAAACATCATTGCACTCATTTATTTGTATGGTGTCTGTCATAAGTAATGTTACATATGTTACTACAGTACTTTGTTCATTTTTTTTTTATTTTGGCATACATAAAATGACTTTTGCAAAACTATAAACCATTGCACAGTATATTAATTCAATAAAATCATTTATTTTTCTGAATATTTTTTAAAACAGTAATTATACATAAAGTCTTCAAACAAATTACAAATTTAACATTGAAAATGGAAGTAAAAAATTTGAGAATTTGATATTCATGAAGGACTACTCCATCCCAATTATTCACAAACATGGGGTATCAGTGTATTATAATATATGTATGCATATACAATAAAGCTATCTTCCATCTTAATTACCAGTGCTAATCACAACCCTTGAAGAACCCTTTTATACTGGATCTACAAATAGGCACACATGGGTTGCCTTATGTGTAATTTTTAGATTTCATGCTTTTGCAACTGTTAAGTTTTGGTTGGTATTTTATGTTCCAAAGGTTTTCAAATTTAACCTTTTAAAAATCTTTGTTCCAAGCATTCCAATTTTGGAATTTGATTCTACTGTAACCTGATGCAGACCTTGAGTAAGGTTGAAAGCATTTGTTGGATGATTTATTAAATGCTTTTTGTTACTATGCATATACAATATGTATGTAATTTGCTCATTTACCCCAAAAGGGTCAATACCAATTCTATTGGGAAGCCCTGATGCAGAAAAATAAAATGTTTGCATTTATCAGTAGGTATCATCAATCCAGATATACTTCAAAAGCCTTGATTAAAATATAAAAACATTTAAAACAGTATTACATTATTCCTATACTACCATAGTTGCACCCAGAAAAATATTTGCTGTAAAAAATAGCTGTCTAATTACAAATAAATAAGGAAAATAAAAAAGCAAGTAAATTTTTTTACATAAAATTTATTAATAAAAAGACAAATTTTTCATTGTACAACTTTGTGTGTAAATATTTTCAGTTATATATTCATTTCTATATGCATAAAATGCACTCTAAGTGTTTAGCCTGTTTTTTTAAAATAAAAGTTATGTCTTATATGCCATAAACTATGGTAATCAAACATATTTATCTTTTAAAATTGAATTTTTTATATTAATGTTATAATTTTAACATAGTTTCATGATAGATTTGATAGATTTCACTTGTGCAAAATCTGCATGTAAAAAATTATTCATTTTTATGTATTTAGTCAAAATTATATGCTTTGAGTTTATTATTTTAAACAATGATACATCATAGAGTAAATAAATATAAAATATTTCTATATGTCACTGACATTTAAATTTGTACTTATTAAAAATGTAAAATATTAATAATTTAATTTTTAGCATTCAAGAATCAATATTAAATGATTTAAGAGTGGACATTCCACAAAACTTTAGCTTCCATTTTCCTCCAACTAATGTAGAAGTAATATCGGGAAAACAAGAAGGAATATATTTATGGATAGCTATTAATTATCTACTTGGAAATTTTGATCACACTTTTGGTAAGTTTGTATTTTGTGCAATATAAATAAATAATTTCAATATTCAAAAATTAAAAAACTAATTACTATAATTACTAATGAATATTCTGTGAATTTTATGAAATATCTTCAAATAAAGCAAAAATTAAGTAAAAGCATTTTTTTCATGAATGACAGGAAATTGACATGTCAGTTTTCTATACAATCTGATATGTGCATCATTTTATAGTATTAACTAGTCTTTTCTTAGAGAAATTTTAATGTTGAAAATGTAATCATGCACTCACTAAATGCATTATCATGTTATATCTTCTTGTCTTTAGAAGGAAATCTTAGTATAATTAGATAAAAACAATATTATTATTTCCAGTTAAGTCTGATAAACATGAAAATGGAGTAATATCTTAATTCATGGAAAAAGACTATTTTACAGGTTAGAAAAAATCTTAGATAGTATAAAAATAGTAACTTTTTTTTTACCACATATACATCTGATATGAATAAAGCTTCACATTTCTTTTAAATAATTAGCTTTAAATGTCTTGAAATTATTACTTCCATATTTTATGTTTAAAAGTAATGTTTCATGTTGACCGAGTTTGGGCTAGAAAATTGTAATTTATATGTAAGTTGAGGATTATTCATTACTGGGAGGAAATTTTCATTCAAAGTGAGAGAGATGAAGATTAGGAATATATTGTAGAAATCCTCTGTAGGACAAGGCCTACAGAGCTAACAAAAATTAATGGGCAGGTCAGTTTGACAGATATACTAGCTTTTAATTAATTAATTCCAGTTTGGCACGATCGCGATATATACATAGAACACAAAATTTATGATTTTTACAATATTCACGTAGTACAAATAAAATGATACACACATTTCCCTCTTTCCTCCTCTCCTTTAAGGGGACTCATGACACATTATAACAGGGAAACATCGAAAGGCGCATAACAACATGCAAACTACTCTGTTCAAATGAATTCTCAACTGATCTCCTTTCTCTCAAATGCATTGTAACTCAATGTAAAACCATTTTATTTGAATGTAAATGGATTACCGTATCTCCCATTTTATTTTCGTTTTTGACCCTCTCACACTCGGCTTCTCAATCTCCTATATCCACCTGTGGCCAGAACACAGCAAATCGGGAACAAGAAAAATAACAAAGGGTGCTACTACACGTGGGCAATGTTCCCTCTAAGCTGTGTGGCTGAGCACTGCTTAAATTGTTGCCGCGCATGAGAATTTGTGCACCGTGCAGGCAAGCAACCACACTGATTTGAATTGTTGTTTACTTATTTCTCACTCTGTCTGCAACATGATTATTGCTATGTATATTTCAATTAAATACATTAAATCATTGGCAAAAGATAATACTTTGAATGGTAGTATGTTTTAAAATGAATTTTAATCTCTACTTTATAATTAATTATTTTAATTTTTATAGGAAAAAGTAAGATTAATATATATGCTCAGAAAATTTTTTTTTGCTCAGAGAAGTACATGTTCCGCTCAGCTACAAAAAAATTAGAGGGAACATTGCACGTGGGTCCCGATCTTTTATAACCTACTAAGTGGATATCCTTCTCACATGACCTCTACTGGCCAATCTGGCTGCTGACATGAGGTGAATTGAGGAAAGCTTACATCATGAACAAAAACCAAGGGGTCGAGGGAAAAACCGAAACAAACAAAAACATAGTCGCGAAGCACTACAATATAGATTCTGAGCTATACAGTAATACCTCGACTTATGCTACCCTGACTTTTGCGAACCCGGAGTTACGTGATTTTCAAAATTCGTCGATTCGTCTTTTGTTTGAGTGTCACGCAACTCTTGATTACTCACTCCCCCCACACTATTGTTCAGCTTACATGTTTGCATGTGTCATGCAGAATCGACATATAGCTACAATTTATTTTGTGTTTATTTCTGTGTTTGTTATATCTACGGAGACTTGAGAGACTCTGCTATGTCATCCAAGCAAAGTAGAACTGATTCTTCTGCATCAAACAAGAAAAGAAAAACTCTATCTTTGGAATGTAAAGTTAACATTATTAAAGACTTCGATACAAAAATGAAAATTTGTGAATTGGCAAAGAATTGACGGTCAGTACAATTATAAAAGGTAAAGAAAAAATTTTCGAAGCTGTGAAAAATGCTCAATCTTTAAATTCAAGCATCATTCATAAACGTCACGGTATTATTGGTGAGATGGAAACAATGTTAAAATTATGGTGTGATAATCAAGTAAATGTGAAAAATTGTATAATAATATAATTTGTTATACATATGTATTATCTAAGATTTTATTAAACATTTTTTTCTAAATTATTGTTTTCTTTAGTCTCCAGCCCCAATTAAAAATTATTTGTATGTATCTATATGCGAAATTATACCCCGACTTACACGAATTTGACTTACACAGTTATCGCTCGGTCCCACCTATCGCATAAGTATCATATATTACTGTATACAGATATATTTTCATTTAAAAAAATGAGCTAATTTATAAATTCTAGACAAAAATTATCGATTATTGTAATCATTTTTTTATAACAAATGATTGTCAGTTTTATTATATATTTTGTATTCTCTTATAATTAGAGAATCGTCATAGTATCTGTAAAATATCATCATACTGTTCAATTGTCTAATAATAATAATATTATTATAAAGGAAAATAGTGGACTAATTAATAATATATGTTATAAAAGATTTACATATTTGTATATAGTAGCAGCTATGGAAATTGCATCAATTCTTACAAAAATGTCTACTTTTTAAACTAAAATATCATTCTGCTGTAGACCTGCAAGAAATTATAAAGAATGCATCATTCATAACATTATAAATATGAGAACACTTTTCATTAGCTGACAAAATCTACTGCAAGTGTTTTTTGTTATATCTTCCAGTGATATAAAAATCCATGTGAAAGCACTGTACTGTATGTTTATAGGTAAAATGAAAATTTTTGACAATTAACACAAGGTAGAGAGCCTGTAATTGTTACTTTGAGTCTGAAAGTTGATGCTCTTATAAAATAGGGCAGAGAGTGCTTTGCAATTGATCAATAATTATGCATTTATTACAAAGGAACTGTGAACATGACAATATTGAAAGAAAAACTTGTTCAGAAGATAAGTGTGAATGTCATGCCAGTATAGAATACTGAAATCTGTGAGAATATACTAACAGTTCTGAACTGAAAGTAAGACATTAAGAGCAGATAGGTATAAAAGTGAGGATATGAACTTTGTAACATCACCTGTGCAACATGGGTTTATAAAACCTACTGTCCATGTAAGAAGTCAATAGTACAGTAATGTAGTAATGACTTCTTACACAGACAAAATAAACACACTGTACTCGTCCAAGTTAAACAGCATATCAATTGGAGATTTGACATGTGGAGATTTGTTGTTTTCAGATTAATCAAATTTAAATTTCACAGTTATGATAGAAAACCCTATGTAAGGCATAGAAAAAGCAAAGCCTATAGCAAGAATTGTTTGATGCAGATATTGAAGTTTCTGGTGAGTCAAATGGTGTGAGGAAGTATATCTAATAAATGTGCTAGCAGACTACACCTTATAAATAGGTCTGTGAATGGAAAGTGCTACAAAACATCTTATCTGCCAAGCTACTTCTGACAATTAAAAGGCAGTTTTCATAATGATTTTATGCCATGTCACTGCAACAAGATGAAGGGTAAAATATAATATGTCTTTTCTCTATTGCTTAAACTGACACACAAATTGTAGTTTTTGGTAAAAAACTTTCTACAAGAGGTCCAGTTCAAATGCCTAACCAGCTTAGACATTCTTAGCAATATTTGTGCTGACTGAACTCAAAAATTGCAGAGAAGACTCCAGAAAATAAACAGCAACTACTGGAGTGAATTAGAGGAGTTTGATATCATGAACTTAGTATAGAATATTGGAATTCCAATAAAGTGCTGCAAAGCTGTTATTAAGGCTCAGGATGGCCCTATGAGATATTAAGATAACAAACATTTACTTTTCATTGAATGATGTTTTTCAGACATACTCATGCTATGAACCTTTTTTCTTTTTTTTTTCTTCTATAACTGTGAATGGCAAGTTCTTGCAACAGTATTGTTAACATTATATGTAATAATTTGGATTTTTTGATTTAATCGTCTCAATTTCTTCTCAGTGCTACATATTTTACCATTACAAATCACAATCATAACTTAAATATACTACTATGTATCAATTGAATGCTTTTTGATGAAATTTTCATGACTGCTAATATATCATTAGACAACTTTAAATATGTAAAAAATATATTATTTAAAATAGATTCTAATACTTAAATTAATATCATGAACTGTACTGTACATATAACATTTGTTTTTTTGAAAAACTTCAAAGAAAAAGAAGAAACTATATGAATAGAAATGGTCATAAAATATCATTTCTAAAATTTATTTTGTGCTTTATGATTTATATATGAATGGTAGTATGTTTTAAAATGAATTTTAATCTCTACTTTATAATTAATTATTTTAATTTTTATAGGAAAAAGTAAGATTAATATATATGCTCAGAAAATTTTTTTTTGCTCAGAGAAGTACATGTTCCGCTCAGCTACAAAAAAATTAGAGGGAACATTGCACGTGGGTCCCGATCTTTTATAACCTACTAAGTGGATATCCTTCTCACATGACCTCTACTGGCCAATCTGGCTGCTGACATGAGGTGAATTGAGGAAAGCTTACATCATGAACAAAAACCAAGGGGTCGAGGGAAAAACCGAAACAAACAAAAACATAGTCGCGAAGCACTACAATATAGATTCTGAGCTATACAGTAATACCTCGACTTATGCTACCCTGACTTTTGCGAACCCGGAGTTACGTGATTTTCAAAATTCGTCGATTCGTCTTTTGTTTGAGTGTCACGCAACTCTTGATTACTCACTCCCCCCACACTATTGTTCAGCTTACATGTTTGCATGTGTCATGCAGAATCGACATATAGCTACAATTTATTTTGTGTTTATTTCTGTGTTTGTTATATCTACGGAGACTTGAGAGACTCTGCTATGTCATCCAAGCAAAGTAGAACTGATTCTTCTGCATCAAACAAGAAAAGAAAAACTCTATCTTTGGAATGTAAAGTTAACATTATTAAAGACTTCGATACAAAAATGAAAATTTGTGAATTGGCAAAGAATTGACGGTCAGTACAATTATAAAAGGTAAAGAAAAAATTTTCGAAGCTGTGAAAAATGCTCAATCTTTAAATTCAAGCATCATTCATAAACGTCACGGTATTATTGGTGAGATGGAAACAATGTTAAAATTATGGTGTGATAATCAAGTAAATGTGAAAAATTGTATAATAATATAATTTGTTATACATATGTATTATCTAAGATTTTATTAAACATTTTTTTCTAAATTATTGTTTTCTTTAGTCTCCAGCCCCAATTAAAAATTATTTGTATGTATCTATATGCGAAATTATACCCCGACTTACACGAATTTGACTTACACAGTTATCGCTCGGTCCCACCTATCGCATAAGTATCATATATTACTGTATACAGATATATTTTCATTTAAAAAAATGAGCTAATTTATAAATTCTAGACAAAAATTATCGATTATTGTAATCATTTTTTTATAACAAATGATTGTCAGTTTTATTATATATTTTGTATTCTCTTATAATTAGAGAATCGTCATAGTATCTGTAAAATATCATCATACTGTTCAATTGTCTAATAATAATAATATTATTATAAAGGAAAATAGTGGACTAATTAATAATATATGTTATAAAAGATTTACATATTTGTATATAGTAGCAGCTATGGAAATTGCATCAATTCTTACAAAAATGTCTACTTTTTAAACTAAAATATCATTCTGCTGTAGACCTGCAAGAAATTATAAAGAATGCATCATTCATAACATTATAAATATGAGAACACTTTTCATTAGCTGACAAAATCTACTGCAAGTGTTTTTTGTTATATCTTCCAGTGATATAAAAATCCATGTGAAAGCACTGTACTGTATGTTTATAGGTAAAATGAAAATTTTTGACAATTAACACAAGGTAGAGAGCCTGTAATTGTTACTTTGAGTCTGAAAGTTGATGCTCTTATAAAATAGGGCAGAGAGTGCTTTGCAATTGATCAATAATTATGCATTTATTACAAAGGAACTGTGAACATGACAATATTGAAAGAAAAACTTGTTCAGAAGATAAGTGTGAATGTCATGCCAGTATAGAATACTGAAATCTGTGAGAATATACTAACAGTTCTGAACTGAAAGTAAGACATTAAGAGCAGATAGGTATAAAAGTGAGGATATGAACTTTGTAACATCACCTGTGCAACATGGGTTTATAAAACCTACTGTCCATGTAAGAAGTCAATAGTACAGTAATGTAGTAATGACTTCTTACACAGACAAAATAAACACACTGTACTCGTCCAAGTTAAACAGCATATCAATTGGAGATTTGACATGTGGAGATTTGTTGTTTTCAGATTAATCAAATTTAAATTTCACAGTTATGATAGAAAACCCTATGTAAGGCATAGAAAAAGCAAAGCCTATAGCAAGAATTGTTTGATGCAGATATTGAAGTTTCTGGTGAGTCAAATGGTGTGAGGAAGTATATCTAATAAATGTGCTAGCAGACTACACCTTATAAATAGGTCTGTGAATGGAAAGTGCTACAAAACATCTTATCTGCCAAGCTACTTCTGACAATTAAAAGGCAGTTTTCATAATGATTTTATGCCATGTCACTGCAACAAGATGAAGGGTAAAATATAATATGTCTTTTCTCTATTGCTTAAACTGACACACAAATTGTAGTTTTTGGTAAAAAACTTTCTACAAGAGGTCCAGTTCAAATGCCTAACCAGCTTAGACATTCTTAGCAATATTTGTGCTGACTGAACTCAAAAATTGCAGAGAAGACTCCAGAAAATAAACAGCAACTACTGGAGTGAATTAGAGGAGTTTGATATCATGAACTTAGTATAGAATATTGGAATTCCAATAAAGTGCTGCAAAGCTGTTATTAAGGCTCAGGATGGCCCTATGAGATATTAAGATAACAAACATTTACTTTTCATTGAATGATGTTTTTCAGACATACTCATGCTATGAACCTTTTTTCTTTTTTTTTTCTTCTATAACTGTGAATGGCAAGTTCTTGCAACAGTATTGTTAACATTATATGTAATAATTTGGATTTTTTGATTTAATCGTCTCAATTTCTTCTCAGTGCTACATATTTTACCATTACAAATCACAATCATAACTTAAATATACTACTATGTATCAATTGAATGCTTTTTGATGAAATTTTCATGACTGCTAATATATCATTAGACAACTTTAAATATGTAAAAAATATATTATTTAAAATAGATTCTAATACTTAAATTAATATCATGAACTGTACTGTACATATAACATTTGTTTTTTTGAAAAACTTCAAAGAAAAAGAAGAAACTATATGAATAGAAATGGTCATAAAATATCATTTCTAAAATTTATTTTGTGCTTTATGATTTATATATATATATTTTACATATTAAAAAAAACAACTATGTTCTATTATACTGAGATATATTTTGTAGTATTTATTTTAATAAAACTTCAGTTTTTATTTACAAAAATTCAAAGTTTAAATATTTTTATTAAAAATTATTTTAATTATATTTTTATGTTTAAAGAAAATGATGACAAAACAAAAATTGTAACCAATTCTTCTATTTGGAGAAAACCTACAGTTGGAATGTTGGAAATGGGTGGTGCTTCTTTACAAATAGCATATGAGGTGACAGATGATGATTATAATAATGAAATTCAAGTAGGTGTTTCTTTTTTTTTATTTTCTGAGAATATTTGTTGGATAAATAATTTCTAACATTCATTAATCATAGTAAAAAATAAATAAATATGATATTGTAGTGCTGTGCTACTTTAGTATTGTTGTTTATATATGCTTAGATATTAATATAATTTGTGTATATAAATCACCTTCCATTACCACGTGTCGGGATCTACTTTTTGTATAATTGTCCGCGGAATATTATGTTGTATCACTTTTCTTGCTACACCAACTGGTGTAGACTAATTGGTCAAGAATGGGGTCACGTGTTAAGAGAGTATTCATGAATGAGGGGGGAGTATAAATTGGACCGTCTTCTGTATTGAAGGCTCTTTCTTAGTTTTGCTTTGCGGTCTGATATAGTTCGTCTGGTAGCAGGAGATAGAAGAGTTAGCCAAGGAATGAATACATCGAGTGGAGGTACTGTATTATAATCCGTTTCCATCCTTAAGAACTTATCATCAACAGGTTTGTGGTGTGCATGTATGGACAGTTTATAATTAACAGACCCAAATAATATTGATATTGTAAATGTATGATATATATATGAAATATGTAGAAAGTGCATTAGTGGAGAGTCATGAACTGTTGTCTGATGATCGGAGATTTGGAAGTTCATCTAATAGAAGAACAAAGGAAGGTTGTAGCAGCACGTGTTTATCGTCTTGTAAATGACTGTATGTAGATTTAATATGAATTAGTTTAGTATTTTAGTAATAAGTTTAGAATTTAATGTTTGTCATTAGAACTACATCGTGTCATCACTAAACTGTAGCACATTTGTACCTTGTAAGCAGGGGCGTGCCGTGACATTTGATGATAGGGAAGCTGTGTTTNGAATTGAAAAAATTTGTCTTTATTACGTCTAATATTACGAAGAAATCAGTCTCCACTGTACTCGGCTAGAGATTGAGTCGGTTAAGCTTTTAAGTAATATTTCGGCTCTTTCGGTAGGGTTTTATTTATGTCCCTAATTCTTTAATCTCTTAATTGTTTAACTACTTCTTAAGTAGAAATAATCCGAAACTGGTTACTTTGTACTCGAATACTTGTAGTCTCGGGAAAAAGTGGAAAGACAAGTTTTTATGACAAACGGATACATAAATCGTAAATTTAAGGAAAATAAATTCTAGAGCCTTTTCTGTACCTGGTGCATCTCTCTCATTCATTAAATTTAGTTGTAAATGACGCTGTCAAAGTAACGGTTAATTTTTTAACATTATACAAGAATTGTACACGTTTTTTTTACATCCCCTTAAAGATGGGATGTAAGAAATCGTAATATCACTGGTTTAACATCGAAATCCGTGAGTAATATAAAATCGGAAAGCGGAATAAATATATCAAATATTTTTATGGATTTTTTTAAACTCCTGTCAACTATACAGAACTATCGTAAAAACATAGTATATTCTTATCGGTTGGGTTAAGTTATAAATCTACTCGTTATTCACGTAATCGAAATATCTAGTGGGCAGGCGGCTAACAGCCCAGAACCGGTCCTTGATAGAATTGGAATCTTTATATGTGTGCAGCTTTCACCCAAGGTCGTAGGCTTCCACCGGCTA